GGCGTACGCAAGTTTCTGGGCTCAAATTGTGCGTACGCCAGTTTTATAAATCTGACACCAGATCTGCATATTTCCACCTTCACAGCATTAACTGTCTCTGCTCCTCCCTCAGCCCTCATACTGCCGCTGTACTTGTTCACAGTCTTGTTACCTCCCGTATTGATTATTGTAACTCTCTACTCTTTGGTCTTTCTCATAAATCCCTTCCTAAACTTCAGCTGGTTCAGAACTCTTCAGCTCGTATCATCACTAGAACCTCCTCCTACAGCCACATCTCCCCTGTTCTCTACAAGCTTCACTGGTTACCGTCAAAATTCTTCTGTTCACATTTAAAGCCAGTTTAAAGACTCACCTCTTCAGGATCGCTTACTTTAAGTTTAAGTTTTGTAGTTTGATTTTGTTACCGTTTTTAATGAGTAATTTATGTTGTTATTTGCAAAATTTATTCATTTTATGTTTTATTCTATTTGTTGCTTGTTCGGTGTCCTTGAGTTTTAGAAAGGCGCCACCAAATAAAATGTATTATTATTTTATTATTTTAAAGTGTACATGGCAAATTTGAAGCTGCTTGGATGAATGTGTTAGTGGTAGACTTTTTAAAACACATTTAGACATTTTTATACTGCCACTAGGTGGCGCAGTGGTCATTTACTCAGTACGTTTTCTTGCCTTTTGAGATGTGTTGATTTTTAGAGTTGTAGCCCACCTTGGAGAAAAGTCCATTAGCTGCCACTGCATTTGAATTAATACAAATTAAAAGTAAACCTATAAAATAACCTTACATATGTGCAAATGACCCCCTGGTTATAACCTTGATTTTTTATTCATGAAAATGTTATTAATTTCCATGAGAAATTAGCACTTTTTGAACTGGGACATGATTTTGCCACAGTTTTAAGAATCAGTGAGGTATAGAAAAGTTTAATTTATTTAAATAGATTTGATTGAACTGAAAATGAGTAACTGTGTTATGTTCAAACTGAAAGAAAAAACTTGTTGAAAAATTACATGTTGATATTCTTCTTTGTTCATTTGCAGCCATCTGAGATGCGAGCTGTGGTAAGAACTTATTGAACCCTTCAGTTCAGAAATGCTCTTAGATCTCAGCTCATTTGTTGCCATTTTTTTTTCAGATGACAACAGATTCTGCTCCAGTTCCTAGAAATCCAGAGCAGGTTAAGAGTTCTTCAGTGGTTCCCATCCAAGCGCCACTAAAAACAGTTCCCAAAAAGCTTGTACAAGGAACAATACCATCAGGATACATCCCCAAACCTGTCATTGTGCCTGATTACATTGGGTAAGTTCTTCTGAAAATACAAAGGGAAGTAAGTAAAAAGATAATAGTTACTGTTCTTGTTTGTTTTAGGGTGTATTCACACCAGCCTTGTTTAATCCAGAGATTTTTAACCCATGGGCAATTGGGCCGTGAGCGCCACCTTGAGGGCCTCAAAAGAACAACAGTTTTTAACTTTGGGCCACAG